AATTTAATCCTTGCTACAACAGCACTAGTAGGTGAAATCTAGTGAGAAGTGATGAGGTTTCTAAGGGCCTTGACTGTTTGGGTAGATTAACACTGTCTCAGTTACTTTTCTCTGTCATTGTTGAGACAAATTACCTGATGTCCAAAGTTAGGGAAGGGAAGATTTATTTCCTACAGGTTAAAGGTTTCAGTTCTTACTCAGTTGACTCCAAGGCAAAAGGACATGGCTGAGGGGCAGCGGTTCAAGGCTGCCTCTGCAGCAAAACATGAACCAGGCAAAAGAGAGAAGACTCGCCTCCTACCCACCATTACACTGTATGCTGGCTCCATCGTGGGAGGGTGTAACAGGCACACCACCAATTCAAGCGCTAGACAATGAACCAACCAATCACAAATGCTAGATTCAGCTGTGTCCATGATTGCATGAGACTTGTGGCAGGGCATCTGACATAAGCCATAACAAACACCATTATTACAAGTTAGGTATCACAAGCATAGTTTTGTTATAAAAGTAAGTCCAACACTCTGCCTTGCCCATACCCCCTTTCACCTGTCCCTCTTCTGCCAGGTGTTGCTGAAGCTTGAAGCTCCTTCGTAGATGTGGAACTCCTGATCTCAGACTTCCCAACCTCCAAAACAGCAAGAAACTAATCTATTCTTTATCAATTACCCAATGTCAGTTCCTTTGTTATGGTAGCAAAAATGGACTAAATCAGTGAGTGAAGAACTTCAGCTACTTTACTCCCAAGCCAGGCAGGTTTTCTTACTGTTCAGGTGACAGACAAAGAAACAGGAAGTGAGTAGCTGGTCCTGCACTGCTCAGGCTGGAAGCTGGAGAGGCAGGGAGGTGTGGGCCATCTGAGGTCCCCTGTACTATCTGACACTGCAAAGAGAAACTGGAGGTGTCTTCCTTGCTGGGACCCAGCCGGGTAGAAATGTTTAACTTTAAGGTAGACTCTCTGAGTGACAGTCCTGCCTCAGATAGCTGTCTGCTCTTCATTCATGAGCTTTGTCCTCAGCTGTGATGGCTACACTTCTCTTTCAGGCTGGTCTCTCCTGGAAGGCAATTACACATTTTCCCAGAAGCCTGTGGTTTGGTCATCCCCCAACTATCCACAGACTGTGGTCCAAGTGGCCCAGCATGGGAGGAGGAGGATGTTTGGCTCACCCACCAAGTTCAAAAGCAGCAGCTACAAACATAAGGCCCGGGGCTGTGCAGCCAGTCTTCCCTGGCATGGCAATGATAAGCATCTCACTTGGAGGGTCTCGGGACAGGAAGCTGGGGTGGGAGGTGCTGGCAGCTGAACTGGTATGGAAATAGTAACCATGGCAACTAGCCACATCACTGGTTGGTGTAGGCTCCTGGGCCCCAGTGAAGCCCCCAGCATCAAGGTACAGTTTAGGGGATCTCTGTACCGTGCTGAGAACCCCGAGGCCATTGGTATAAATCCCAGATGAACCTATTCTAGGATTTTTGACCTAGAGCAGTCAATCTCTTTGCCTTGGTTTCCTCCTCTGAAACAAAAACAGCACCTACTCCGAAACTGTCCAGGTAAAGCATCTAGTCAGGGCTCAGTCTTCGGCCCCCTTCCTGCCCTCTGCCCTCTTCTGGTCCTCTGCCATTTCTGCAGTTTCTCATTGTGTGCCTCAGATGACACACCGTCAAAAGAAGCTGCTTCTTGTTACTCTTGTTGCTTTCATAATTGAATGTGCAATCTGTTCTCACGTGAACTACACAGGACATCTGTTTTGGGTTGAGGATGTGTCTATGCAAAACATGAAAGAAGGAAGCAAGGCTCTTCTCCAGACATGGCTACTACAGAAACTCCAATGGAATGGAGCTCCGGAGCCAGGTGGTCCCAATACCCAAATAGCCCTCCTGCCCCTTTGTTTCTTTGCCTGTAGAGCAAGATGTGGTAGGCAAAATACCTAACAAGCCAGATGGCCCTGACCAATCAGAATGGGCTGTGGCTGCAGTGCTAAAACAAGGACACTTGGGGGCCCAGAGATGTAGCTCTCTGGCAAGAAAGCATGTTCAAAACTGGCATTGGGTATGTTCTGGGTCTCTACCAGCTCTGCCAGTGAGAAAAGCCAAAGCAGAACAGAGCTGATGAAAAGTCTGCATGGAAGGACAGTGAGCCCTGTCCCCTTCATTTCTCTCGTGGAGGCTCATGCAATTGACCAGATGGCTGTGGGCTCACAGAATTCAGTGACCTTCACAGAATTTAAGTGGGCTGGTGTTAACAGTGTTGGCTTTGGCATTAAACTATCTGCTCATGAGCTCTGGCACCTTCCACAAGTTTTTAGCATCTGAGAACCTTGGTTATCCAATGTATAAGATGAGAGCATGACAACATACAGGGAAAGCATGACAACATAGAAAGCATCTCACACAGGGCCCTGAACACATGGTCTAGTAGAGACAGGGGGAACACCTCCTGCTCCTCCTGAGGGGATTCTGGTGTTCCTCCCTATCTGGGGGCCAGTGGGGTGCAAATGTGCTTGCAAAGCACTCACATGTTCATCTCATTCACACAACACGAGTCTACCAAATGTCTACTTGGTGCCCTGTGTGGTCCTGGTTTCTGGAAAAGCCCTAGCGAACATGCCAGGCCAGGATCCTGTCCACCTGAGGCACGGAGGGAGGAAGGCACCACTGTGATCTCAGGCACCCCTGAGGTCTCAAACTTGCCCTGCATGGCGAAGAGGAGACTGTAGTGTGCCAAGCCTGCCCACCATATGGTGTGAAATGTGATGGGAGCTGAGGGAAACCAGGAAAAGACTCCCCAGCAGGAGACATTTGATTTGAAGCTTAAAAAATGACAAGAAGGCAAAAAGTGAGGAGTGGGGAAGAGACTTCCCAGGCAGCCAGAACAGCAACTGCAAAGGCCCTGAGACTAGGATAGCTCTGAAAGTTTTCTGAAAGAAAAAAGGTCTGTGAGGCCGGGACATAGTGAGCCAGAGGGGAAGAAAGCTCACAGCCCTGTAATCTGGGTTAGATGCTTGGTATTGCCTGTCCAGGGTGAGGGAAAGCCACAGACAGGCTTAACGGGGTGCTGGTGTGACCTGATGTTGGCCAAGAAGAAGCCTCAAGGCTCACAGCTGCACACCTCTCATTTGCAGGGTAGCCCTGACCCTCCGCTCTCCTTGCCTCTCAGTTCCCTATGTGACCCTTTCTAGATGTGCACACATCTAGATGACCACACGTAGGACGTAGCTAGATATCTTCTCCACTGGCTGGAAAACACCAGAGCTGAGTGGTCTCATCCATGTCCCCTGGGCTCTTGAATGATTGATTGGATCATCTGATATTCGGCCTAGAGCTCTTGACCTAGCCACGGTGCTTAGCAGGGCAAGACACAGCCTAGCCATTAGAGCAAGAAAGCACAGCCTGGCTTTTTTGGTGCAAATCAGCTCATCCAGTGTTTTCCCCACAGTACCCAAATTCCAGTAAGCATAGTGGTTCTAATGAGCGGATCCTCTCTGAGGCTCCCTGCTTATATTCTTTATAGCACACAAAGGCACTTAGAAACACACTGAATTGGTGTTTTTTGCATCAACCCCAACTTCCCTCACCTCAGTGTGCTGCATAAGAATCTGCTCTCTCACTGTGGTTGGGAGCCCTGAAATGCTGATTCACGACACAGCTTTCCCATTTCTTGGCTGTCAGATTCTCATTTTCTATTAATTCCCCAAGGGTTGGCTGCTTCTAGTTGGTGCTGGGTCAGTTCTGGACAAACCTCTTTAATATTTGAAAATGCTCTGGCTGGGGCACTTGAGGTCTTTATATCATTCTTAGCACCTCTTGGCAGCCCCATTTCCTGTGCCAGGTCCTAGGAGAACTTGGGATGGCTAAAGAAGTGGTGAGAAAGTGGAGAAAGGCCTCAAGGGCCCTTTAGTGTCCAGACTGGGTGGGTTTATTGGGCTCTGGCTCCAGACTATGAGACTGATTATAGACACACTAGGATCAAAGCTGGATGGCTCAACACAACATATGTGAAAAATGGCCCATTGTCTGGGTCATTCTGCTAAGAATGGAAATTAATCTATCCTCATCATAAAGCCCAAAGGAGACTAAAACCTTGCTTCTGGACTGTAACCATGGAAACCTCCCATTGTTGTGGATGACCCGCTACCAGAACGGAAGTTCATTTGCTCCCCTGGGAGATGGTACCAAGTGTCCTGTCTCCCTTGTTGTTACTGACTTGCATCACTGCAGTAGGTCAGAGCTCAGATGCCCAGGAAGAAAAGCTGCCATGTGGCTCTCTCAGCTCACCCCGCCAAGGGGAGGGCTCTGGAGGCAGGAGAAAGGACGGGAATGAAAGCTGGAAGAGGTGACATCCAGCAGTGAGTGACAGCGGGTGGGGCAGGTGTTATTGGGGCTGCTATTAAAAGCATTCATGAGGCAGCATTCGTGTCTGGAGTCCCATCTGACTGGCATCAATAAATGTCCCTGTTCCACCCAGTCAGGCAGGGCAATCATAATTAGGCATGAAGAAATTTATCAAACAGCAGCCTCTGAGCTGTAGGTCCTCTGCCATCTGGACGGATGGTTTCCTATCCTGGGACAGCAGCAGCAAGCATGATTGATGAGGTTCTACTGCTCCAGTCCCTGGGTCTGAGAAAACCCAAATGGCTTTCTGTAGTCCTCTTCAGGAAGTGATAAGATTCTGCCTGTGTTGATGGGCACATGTGTTGGGGTCCATGCTGAAGTTTGCCCTGGCCCTTTGAAGGTGACTCCCAGATCTGGGGCAGCCAGGGTCAGTTTTCAGTTTACAGATTAACAGCAAAGCCCTTGAGTGAGGATGAGAAGACGTGGTTGGAAATCCCACTAGTGAGTCTGGAGGCTTAATTCAGGTTTTTGTCCCAGTTTTACAGCCTACACAGTAAAGATAATAATTTCTGCTTTGGCTCCACTCCCACAAGTTTTCAGAAACTCTTGGGACCTTATAGATGCAAAATAGCTTTGGTAATTATAAAGCCCTCTACAGTCATTAAGGATTGAATCCAACAAACATTTATTGAGCAACTGCTGTGTTTTATGCACCACGCCTAGTGCTGTGATGGATACGGATGAATCAAACAGCCCCTGCCCTTGATGAGCTTACAGTCTAAGAACAGTCATAGGACAAGTGCACAAATAACTATAATACAAGGCAGAATATGGTAAGTGCCATGAGAAAGGTACAAATAAAGTGCTACGGTGTTCAGTGGAGGGAGAGACTCCAGTGGTCAGAGGATCAGGGAGGGCTTCATGAAAGACATGTCTCTGTGTGGGCCTTGGAGGAAATTCAAGAGTGATCCAGAGGATGAGAACGAGAAGACCAAAGGCACAGAGAGAGGAAATGCGGACGCTCCTTCCAGGACTGGCAACTCCTATAGATCAGCTGGTGCAGGGTGTAAAGAAAGAATAGGACCTTATGGGTGGGCTGTAGTGTCAGGTTAAAGTCTTGTGCCTTGACTTGTGTGTCAGGAGAACTCTGAAAGCCGGTGGAGGAGCAGGAGAAATACCTCACTGTGCATGCTCAGGAGGGCCGGAGGACGTGGAAGCCTGCAGAGGAAATGTGGGAGAGGAGGCTGCCACAAAGCGGTCCCAGGGACATGGAGAGGTAAGCTTGGTGTCGGAGGGAAGAAGCAATAGAGGTGGATCTGTGGAAGACCTGAAGATGACAGCAGGATCTGGCTGACAGGTTCGTGGATCTCCCAACAGAATGAAAGAGGGATTTCAGGGGAAGGGGAGACAGAGTGGAGCTCTTGGCATCAGAGGTGTTCAGTTTATGGTGCTTCGACCAGAGCAGAGAGAGTGCATCACACATGCAGTACGTCATCTGAGCTGGGGAGAGGACTGGTCACAGAGAGAAGAGGAGGCTTCTCCTGGGGACATGGTGACTAGATCTAAGGGAAGGAGTGAGCTCGCTGAGGGAGGTTGTAGGGGTCCGAGGGGAGGACCCTAGGGAGAAGAGAAGGAGAGAATGGGCAGATGTACCTCAGCTCGGAGACCAAGGTAGGTATGGCCATAAATAATGCATAAATACATAAATAAATATTTAAATAAGTGGCAAAAAGGGGCAGGGAAGCAAAGGGAAACCCAGGAAGACATGGCATCCATGAGAAGGGCCAGGGATGCCCAGGAGGAGTCCCTGCAGTTTCTCAGTGAAAAGGGGACTTTTAAACAGGCAAGATGGAGGGCATTCAAGACCAGTCCCAGAAACGAGTTAGGTGTGGAAGCCACAGCATGGTCCAGAGGAAAGCGAGCAGGAGGGACTGGGGTCCCTGCCCAGCTGGGGTGCTGGGAGGTGAAGGAAGAGGCCATTACAGCCAGGCTGGGCCCAGTGAGCATCTGCTGGTGAACAGCATCAGAGTGGCAGAGAGGGGCCAAGGGTGTGAGAGAAAAGGTACATGGCCAGCAGGGAAACTTACTTCTTCAGAAAGGGGAAGGAGAAGGAGGAGGGGAAGGGGTGGGAAGAGACCAAAAGGTTTTGAGGCGAGACCTCGTTCCAGATGGTTCCATCTCTTTAGTGAAGGAGGAGGTTGAAGTTGGGGTCTGTGGGGGGCTTGAGGCAAATGGAGATGGTCTGAGAGGTTCTGGGGGGCCATGGTGGGCAGACTGGAGAGCTGAGGGACAGCCTCAGCAGGAAGGCAGGCTGAGGCTGACAGATGCCTGACTGCAGCTATGAGGTGGTGGATCGCAGTGATGGGGTGGGCTTGACTGCCTGGGAACCTGGCCTCAAGGGGGCTCTGACTTGGCAGGGTAGGGCAGTCAGCCTCTGGTGGAGAAAGAGGGCACAAGGCCCAGGGCCCAAGGCCTACTGCCACAGTGCCATGGGATTTGGGATCTGCTAAGTTAGGGGAATGGGCAGGCGTGGGTGTCCTGGACCTCCTGCCTTCTTGTGGATGGAACTTGGAGGAACTTTACCACCTGCAAGAAAACAAGTTCTCTGGAGTACTGGTCTCTAACTTTCCTGCATGGACAGGATGCTGCCTGGTAGACAGAGCTCAGGCCCAACTCCAGGCCCTGGCCTCAGGGCTTGCCTTGGACCTCACCATAGAACATTCTGCAATCCAAGGTCTTCGCTAATCCACCAAGGCCTTGCCGATAAATCTATCTCCTCCCCAGGGTGCTGCAAGCTTAGAATTAAGTATCTTCTAGGGCCTTTCAGCTCCTCAAGAGGAAAGGCTCAGGAGACAAATGCAATTTGATACTAATTACTTCCATATTCATGGGGAGCCTGGACCACTTGGTTCGCACTGAGGCTGTTGCTCTTTTAAAAATTCATTTCATGATGCAAATCCCAAATCTCAGACAACAAGAACAAAGGAGAAATTGCAGGGACGCGGTGTCGCTATCCTGGCCTTGGACTGGGGCATTCCTGTGTGCTGGGTTTCTTATACCAACTCTTCCTGCCCATCAGAGGTTAATTTAGAGCCAACATTCTGTCCTGAATTGCCATTGATTAATTATGTCCAGTCTCATACACTGAGGAGCAGATCTTGATTACTTATTCTTAACTCTCTTCACCTTCAAGAGAATGGTTTTCTACTTATCTTTCAAATATGTTTTAAAACACTGTCCGTTATCAGCAAGGGAATCCATCTAACAAACAGAGCTGGCTAATGCTTCTTTCTTTGTGACCAGTGATTCTGGCCCCTAAGGTATTGGCGTGGAGCCCAGATTTTCCTAGGAGATTATGTCCAATGTTTGGAACCGCATTTGGCTTTTTAAGCTCTGGTCTTAACTATGAACTTTAGTAGGGGAAGAAAAGGATTTTGCAAAAATTCAACAACCATTGCTTCTGTGGGGAGGTGGTGGTGGGTGAGTGTGCGGTGAACACTGGTCCTCTGAGGGAGATGGGAGACTGACAAGAAAGTGATACTGACACAGTCTGGCTGTAGGGACCCTGCCAACTGCAGGCTACAGAAAGCAAACAAAGTGAGTGGTTGCCAGACCTGGAGTTAGGTGCTTCCCAGTCTTTCAGGCCTTACATTCTGGGGCTCCGGCACGGTGGGGCACCCGGAAAGGCAATCATGTATATCTTAAAAAGTGCTCTTTGAAGCTTTTGTTGTGGCTTCCCTGGTGGCAGAGGGGAGAGCGAAGTCCCTTGCTGACATTCTGAGAGGGCAGGATGGAGGCTGACCCCCACCTCGGCTGGCCTCAGTTACTGTACAGAACACCTGGCACGTCCTGGTCGCCCTTCTGCCTTGTGCTTGGTGGGAGCAAACCCACAGGAGGAGCTTCCGGTTCCTCAGAGGCATGATTTACAACCCTCTGCCTCTTGAGGGTTATTCATCTGCTGAGGTTCTCGGTGGTTCTTGTTCAGCCAGGATACGGATTATCCATGGTTTCTCTCCTGGCCTTGTCTTCACAGCCGTGCAGTCGTGCCTGGGGCTTCTGTGTTACCCGGGACTCAGGCAGTCAGACTCTAAGTTCATGGAACAAGGCCCTCAGCTCTGCGGTAACCTTGGTTCCTTAGCCTCTTTGTGCTCCTTTACCCAACTGACCTCTCCAACCTCTCTCTTCCACAAATAGCACCTGTGCAAACCTGGTCAAGTGTCCTCTCTGGGTCTTGGCCATCTGGAGTCCATATATCCCAGGGGTTTGGGCAGCTGACCACAAGTGGCTCTCTGTTCATCCGTGAGCCCAAGGATCCCTCCAACCCAGGAGGCTGGTTGTCATCCGAAGCCATGGGTCTGGCTTCTTTGCCCGTCAAGTCTTTCTGCCCCAAAGATGGACTGAGTCTCAATCTGGTTCAGGTGGGTTCTCCAAGCCTTCTTCTTGTGGCTTATCTGCCTAATGCTAGATGAACACCACACAGTTATAAATACTCAGGTCAATATATATATGCAGGTATAGATATATATATATTCTGGTCACTGTTTTACACTTTAACAAAGAAAACCACTAGCCTGCTTGTTCTATTGTGTTTGTGCCACCCCGACTCCCATCTGCCTGTGGTGTAGCTGGCAGGAAATGTGAGCCTTCGAGTCCCACGAGGTGCCCACCTTACGTGGCCCCGTCACACTGGCCAACAGTCAGTTTCAATGCCCCCTGCTCATGTAGGCTCTTGAGGGCTTTGAACTCCAAGGGCATGGTGTGGGGGCTGGCCTGGGAGGTATAGCCATACTTTAGGCTGTCATAGTAATGGTACTTGACAGGGTTCTGGTTTTGATCCAGCGGGAAGGGCCAGAAGCCATAGAGGTAGATCTGATTGCAGAATCGTGTGGCCAGTGTGTACATCAGGAGGCCAGTGGTGGGTCTTTTGATGTGGACCTTGTTAGTCAGCCAGTATCTGGAAAACAACAACAACAAAAATAAAAATAAAAAGAGAAACAAAGAAGTAATGTGAGTTTGTGAATCATCCTTTCCAGAAAGTGGGGAAATTTTATCCTGCCCGGAGCGTCCTGCCTCCTGCATCACCAGAGACCAACCAACTTACGAGTCCTGATTCCTTCCTGGGAGGACTGACACCTACCACAGGTAAGTAACCCAACTTGCTTGATTTTATGACATCACAGAAAAAATCGTGTCCTTTGTATGGGCACAGAAATGGGGCCCAGAGGGAAAAAAAAATGACTGGCTTGAACTCAGTGGCTAGGAGCAATGCACAGGCTTGAACTCGGGCCTGCAGATAGCAAAAATGAGGGCTGGCAGACTTCATCTGCAAAGGGCCAGATGACTGGTATTTTTGGCTTTGCAGTCTCACGTTCCAGTCGCAATTACCTGAGCTCTGTGTGGCTGCCACATAAAAGGAGCACCAACGGGTACATGTGGATATAGTTGTGCTTGGTCTTGACCTCTGTAAAGCATGTTTTCTTGCAAGGTGCTGGTCACCCTGTAGACAGTCCCTCGCACTTCCCTTTGTGCATTGTCATTCCTGCCTACCATGCCTCTTGGGCATCCGGGGGCAGGGCTCACTTCCTGTTCCCACCCACAGGTGCCATTCTCTGACCTCGTGTGACTTCCCCAGAGAGCGATGGGCTCTTGACAGTGGTCTGCCCTGTGAGGCTGGGCTCTGCCTGCCCATTGTCTTACAAAGGCTCATCATTTCTGCTTGTGTTTCCACCTTTGAGAGTGTTTTCAGCTAACAGGTTGAGGTGGAGAGGGGCAGGTTTTCTAGAAGCTCAAGTACTTCTTTTTGCAGAAGGATTCCTTTGGATGCTCAAAAAGAGAACTGCCAAAACAATGCATAAGTCAACTTTGAAGCTTTTGTTTTTTGCTTGATGGGAGGAAGCATTAGTCTTTCAATCAGATGAGATTAATTCTTAATAATCCATATACTTTCAGTGAAGTATAAAATATTTGATCAGGGAGAATAACTTTGAGACACACTCACCCGTCCAAATCAATTATCAGTCCTGGGTGATTTAAATCTCCCTTCCACACTGCTGATGGAGGCTGTGGTCCCTGAGGCCAGAACTGGCATGAACTTGGAGCCTCTTGGGTGGCCGTTAGATAACAATGGTGACCCTGTGAGCCTGCCACTTGGAGACTCACTTCCTCAGCCTCTGCTGTTTCATCCTGTTGGGCTGAGAAACTTCCTCAGCCTAGGAGTTTCCCAACAGGGAGTCAGATGGAGGGACAAAGGCAGAGAAGAGGACAATGGCTCTTGTGAACCATGAGCACAATGGAACTGAAAACTGATAGGATCAAGTGTTTGTGGACCTCTTTGTTCCTTCCCTGCCCTATTGAGAGGTCTCTATGGTGACAGCCCTGCACTGCCACTCATCCCCCACTTGGGCGTTTCTTACAGAAAGCTTTCCTATTGCAGATGCAACCCCACTCCATAGTGCAATACCAAACTCTGTAAGATCTGGGCCCCCAACCCTATCCCATAGTGCATCTGTCTCCCCAAGAGGACTGGCTGTAGCCCCCAGGCACTGTGTGATTCACAGCACCTTCTCTTGCTGAGATCTGCATCAACACTGCCTTTGCGCTTTGCCCAGGTCTCTGGACACCCGAGTACCCATCTCTTCCCAGTGGTGTGGCCTCATGGAGCTGCAGTGTGCATGCCTCTCCCACAGTCTGTGGGCTCTTGGAGGGTGATCTATCTTGCTCTGTGTGCAAAGAAGCCCATGAGTGCTGGAAAAGTGAGTGGATGTTTGGAGGGAGAAGTTTTCTCCTTCTTGTACTTATGGTCCTATAGGCCCATGGCAAGATTCCATAGCTAGGGAATCATGGGGACAGGGGTGGGAGGCTACTTGTCTCAAAAAAAAAAAGAGTTCTGGGAATGCACAAGGCAGCTGATGGTGTGTCCCACTGATGCACACGGTGGGTCTGGGCTGCTGATCTGCTGATGTCCCTCAATGGCCTAGTGTTTCTGTTCCTTGGCCCCAGAGAAGCTGAGGCATAGAAGGAACCTAGAAACACTGCACTTGTTTTCTTCCAGCAGGGGCTCTGCTCCCCAAAGGTCCATTCTGCTTCTGCTGCCCCTCTCCTCTAGGAGAGGTTTCTTCTGGGCCTCCCAATCCAAGAAGCAAAAGGGTCCAGGTTGTTTTCACACAGGACCCCACAGGGTGGGCCCCGGGCAGCTGGGTGCTGGGTGATTGGGGTAGTGGGTATTAGCTGCACCGGCTTCAGGTGAGAGAGCTCTGCTGGGACTTTGGTACGAGAAGTACTGAGAGAGCTACCTGAGAGCTACCTGAGTGGCTGAACTCTGATCATCCCACAAGGCCGCTGTGCTCTCAGTTCAAGGGAAGTTTTAAGGAGCTGGTTTGAAAGGCCCACTAACACCTCTTTCTTCCTCTGCACACCTGCTGGCTACACACTTCCCTCTTGTCACTCCTGTGCGCCTCACAGACGGAGGCCCCTGCTGGGGAGGGTTAGAACCTGGGCTTCCCTTCAGGCTCTCTGACTGCAAATCAGTATTTTTTTCTTTTGTGGTACAGCTCTGACAGATATAGGGCAGTCAGGAACATGGCTGGCCTAGTGTGGCTGGTGACTGTTTGGGGACTGTCCCACCTGGCTGTCTGCATAGTCACCCTGCAGAAGGCATGGCAGTGGCTTGAGACATGCTTGATGCAGAGGTTGGCTCGCAGGATAAGGAGCCATTCCTTAGGCCACTTCAGCTTTTTCTAGACTCAAAAGAAGAACCCCAAGGTCAAGGGCAGGGGCGTGGTAATGAGGAGGAGAATCCCAGAAAAGCAGCAGCTGATGTGTGGGTCCTCTCTTTCACCCATCCTGGTATGTGGTGCTCACACACACCTTGGCTTACACACACCCAGTAACAAGGAGCTCACTTCCTGCCATGCTACTGCATTGCATTTCCAGCTCAGATGCAGAGGGTCTCAGCTCCGGCTGCAGGCTGGACCACCTGCAGTTTCAGGAGATGCCTGGGTCCCTCTGCCAGCTGCAACCTGGACCTGGACTTTGACAGTCTCCTACAGTAACTCAAATGTGTAGTCACAGCTAAGAATCCTGCTTGGGCTGGTAGGTAGTTCTGCCAAAAGAACCCAAGGAGGGGCAACATTGAGAGAGTGGGAAAAACAGGATGCAGAAGCAGCGCTGCAGGGATTTAAAGACAGCTGGGCTGGAGAACTCATCTAGCCTGGTAGCCTGGCGGGGATCTAACTGAGTGGGCTGGGAGTTGGGACAAGTGTAAGGAAAACTCAGATCTGGCTTCACCGTGGCCAGGGAAATATGGGGGGTGGAGGCACAATGGCAGCTCCAGGGTCAGCCAGTATTATTGTTTTCAGTACAGTGGTCCTAGATCTGATTTTTAAAAAGGGTCTTAGAAATAGAATTTTTATGTAAATTCTCCAAGATTTTAAATATTGGGAACTAATTAAAATTTTGAGGAGTCTGGAGGTGTGGCTCAGAGGTAGTACACAGCCCTTAGCATGCACAAGACACTGGGTACCACGTCCAGCACTACCAACATTTGTTTTTCCTCTTAAAAATGCCATGTGAGATGTTATTGGGTGCTACAAACAGGTGTGTCTGTGGTTAACCCAGGGCCTCCCGAGCTCACTTGTTTTCCTCTTTCGGTTTCTAGAGGGAATGTCGGAGGCCAGGGTGATCAGAATGGGAAGCAGCAAGCTTCTCACGCCCCTGGTCACACAGATTGCAGATAAAGTGTCGGCTTCCCCACTCCTGCTTTTGGGGCATTTTTCACCCCACAGCAGTTCTGGGAAACTGCTGGGCCAGGCTAGGGTGCAGCTGTTGCTGCCCCTGGCCAGTGGAGCCACCAGAGGTGTCCCCACATACTCATCCCCAGGGGTTCACTCCTTGTGCAAATCTGAGCTCTTACACCAGCCAAATGCCATCCCGGAGATTTGTGGTTTGTTTATTTTCTGATAGTAATGCCTTAGCAGGGGAAGCCTTCAGAAATGAATTTCTTTTCAGGTCATCAAGGCTATGCCCAGAAATGGGGAGAGGAGAATTTAATCAGTGTTGAGACATCCACATAGCATGTGGGTGAATCTGAGGTGACAGTACATGCTGAGAGGGCTCCTGTGCCTTTTCCTGTGTGTCCCTTTGATGAACTCTCTGTCCCCCGCTCACCCCCTCCACTGAAAAAAACTAAGCGCATGCATCAAAATCTTCCTGGAATCTTTTTTTCCACCCACTCCTCCCCAGCTCACACTGTGATTGCCCCGACCTGATTCCCATGAGCTCTCCGGATTCTTCTCTTACTGCACTTAGCCACAGGACAACAGCTCCTCCCTGTACAGGCTGGGCTTGCCTGCCAAACCACCATGAGCTACGTGAGCCGCACAACCCGAGACCATGCCCCACACTCCTTGGTAGGCTCCAGAGGCACCCTGCTCCATGTTGCTGTATGCAAGGCCCTGTGCAGAGACAAGCAGCGCTTGGCTTGGCAAACACCACAGTGCTTTACTCCATCTTGCTGCACCCTGATCATTGGGCTGAGGTCAGTGTTGCCTGAACCAACCAGAACGGTTCTCCTACCCTCTCTTCTGATTGCAGAAGCTCAAAGCCTTCTGCAGAGATGGGTCGGCTTGAGCAGCATGAGACCCTGATCCCTGAATCACCCTGGGAAGGCGGCCCCTTGACAGCTCATAGCACACTGGAGAGAAGAATCAGTTGCTGCTGAATAAATAAATAAATAAGCAAACGGCTGCTAAACCGCTGGGCTTTGGGGATTTATTGTTGTGGCGTAGCCTAGAATTGATGATCCCGAGTTCTGTTGTGCTCAGCAATTGTCTGACTCAAGTGCTATTGAAAAAATGGAAGATGCAGAAAAGAAGAAAGAGGAAGCCAGTAGGGCGTGCAGCTTGGTGATTGCGGCCACCAGGGACAGGAACGCAGGGTCCCATTACTCAGGGGTGG